CTTATCTCCAAGTTTCCCCCCTAGACACCATCCTTCAGCTTTCCCCCCTTCTCACCTTTACCCCTGGTGCGTGTCCCCCGCTGGCACTGCCCACCCAGCTGGGACACCCACCGTGCTGCGTCTCTGCCAGCTGCATCCCCAAAGCCACGCTCTGGGGGGGGCGCGGTTTGGGCACATTCCCCCTGCCAGGTCCTCAATTCCCCACTGACTGTGGGTGCTCAGCCCACAGCAGGTGGGGTGACAGTCCCTGTGGGGGGCACGCATCCCTGCCCACGGCAATGCACCCCCGTGCTGGAGCTCACCCCTTCCTCGGAGCCCGCCAGCAAAACCAGCCCATGGCAAGACCTGCAGCTGGGGGCATCCAAGCCCCTCCACAGCCCCTCCGAGCTCCTCTGCAGCTCCTCTCCAACCTCTCCCAGGGCCATCGCCCCTGTGCCACGCTGGCCAGCGGGGAGGGGGACAAGCAGCTCTCCACAGTGGCACCAGCCATGTGCTGGTGTCGCTCCATGCAGCAAGATGCCAGCTGGTGCTCGGAAACATCACTTGCAATTAAAAGCTGCTGTTGCTTAACACATCCTCGGCACGGCCAGAGGAGCCCCTCACCAAGTCCCAGATGGTTTCGGGGTCTGGGCTGCCCCAGGGACCTGCACCCCAACGCCCATCCATGCCGCAGTGATGGACAACCCCTCAGCACACTGCAAAAGCACCGCTGGCGTGTTGGACTGAAAACGCAGGAAATAAACCCAAGGACTGCCTGACTGGGCACCCTGCAAGAGCTGCTCAGTGCGGATTTGAGCACCAGGGCTGTCCCCTCCGGAGAAAGAGGGGACACAAGCCCCACATCCCCCTCTTGCCCCCCATGGGTACCGGGAGGGCTCGGGCACCCAGCAGGGCACTGATGCTCACCAGGCTGCATCTCTCTCAGCCAGATGAGTTTTGGCAGGAGATCATCCACTCCCAGCACCCACCATCACCCAGGGGGGTTCGCCCTGCCTGGCTGCATCCCCTCCACCACCCCACATCACAGCCGGCCAAGCCGCAGGAGCCACGACGCCACACTGATGGCCACAGCCGTGGCCCCTTGGCCGGAGAGGGCAGTGGGTGAGTCATGCCATGCTGGCAGCGCCCCACGCTCTGGCATGGCCAGCCACGTGGCCGAGGGGCCGCGCGCACCCCCT